CGGACGTGGTGCCTCGAGATCACAGTAGCAGGAGCGACGCTAAACTTAGTTGGGGAGAGGAGCGGAACTTCAGCAGCAACTTCCCCCTTCAAAATAATCGACTTGGCGCCTTTTCAAAGCGCAGCTTTCCAGCACATCGAAAGGCAAAATTGTTTGGGGCAGGCGGGTCTGTGCTTTAGGGCATTTGCGTGGGAGCGAGTCCTTAGTCAGCGAAAAGGAACACCAAACTTCGACCGCTGCGCGCCACAACATCAAACACGACTTCGCGAACTTTGCGTAAATTTTTGCTTTGTTGCTTTCGCATACGATTCATACTGTTATTCTATTACTCGGGTTTCGTCAAAAGTTCTCAGTACTTCGAGAATGAACAATGTCTAGTGTCTGAAGCCGTTTGCTTCACTGCGTCACGACGCGTCTCAATCCACCTCAGGACTGGCCCGGGCACTGTGTGGCGAAGTGAGTATAAGTTTCGCGGATTTGGACCGTATATTGGAAGGGGCAACAAGAGGCGGGTTGTCTCGAGAAGCCGCCCACTACAGCGGCCAGGCACTCGGGGACGGTACCAGGAGGCGCAGATGGTTGACGGAAGTGAGCGTCATTAATGCGTTCCGAACATCTCTTCCTTTATAAAATTCGTCCTCTACGATTGTTCTCTCTCCATCTTTCAGTAACGGTGCTTGCTATCCGTTGTTTTCATCATTGTTGGCTCCTTGTGGAGCATTGTCAGTCCGCGCAGACTTCTATTCTGTCTTCATTCATCGCAAGTACAAATGCTCCCCACGACTGAACGGCTCATCCACGGATATACCCTTGCCCTGCATGCTAGCCAAATTGACCGCTGACCTGGCCCCTTCGAACGGTGCTGTTACCGATCATCACGCGTACCAACAGCATGTACCATCAATCACCGAGATCAACGGGTACAGTTAGCCCTATCACGACAGGGCAGCAATCGTTGAGGTCGAGTCCCGAGTTTCCTTGCCACTATGCGGTGGCCTCGCCTCTCACCGCGGAGATACGAGCCGACCGCAGAATCAGAGCATCAAGTCTCCACAGACACCACAGACATCCTAGTTTGTTGGCTGCAGGTCACAGTCTGAAAGGACAATGATACGTTGCGAATGATGTGCCTTATGAGTCACAGTCACCAAGTCCGCAGCTGCAGGATTCTCAATGCAACATGAAATTCGGTTTGACTCCGCTTCTCCACAACTGGTTCGATTGATTGGACCTTCCTGAACAGATTGGATGTTGGTATGAGTCAGTACGACTATTCAGTCGTCTATTTGGGTTCTAGGCTGCAGAAAAGCTAATGATCGGGTCGTCGCGTGCTGCTGAGGGGTGGTGGGGGCAATGGGTCTAGGACCCGCGACACCCGACACTGCTACCCAGCTGCCCCTCCACCCTTTCAAAGCTCGTTCGATTATAATAGCACACCCAATAAGGTATACATCTTAGGAAATTGAAGTCTCTCGCTTCCAAAAGTGCTGTTAGACTCGGATTTCTTACTGATGGCGAATTATACACCAATAGCCCCCAAATCCATCTGGATATGCTTCGATGGCACCATTACTGATATTAGTCAGAGCTCAGCCATTCGAAATCCTCAATTCCTCTTCACGTTTCTCCAATCGGTGAGTATGTTACCGTCCAGCCATCGCGCTGAGGAGTCAACAAACGGTAGTTGGGATGCCGCGGCACAACCCAGGAATACAGTATGCCTATCACAACACTCATGTTCAGTCACATTTAGGCATAGAGCTGAAGCATAAAAGGTATGCATGCGAATTACCAAAGACGAAGCACAAGTGCTCCGCAGTGAGATGAACCGGATCAAAAATGTCACCTCCCAGTCCATCTTCGCCCACCACGAACCTTAATTGAGCAGAAGATTGATCTTAATTTCTCCCTTTCGGTCGTTCCCGAAGTGTTTGTCTAGGGGATATCGATCTTGAGGAACTCTACCCCACATTGATACGAATAATTTAAGGCATCGTATAATTGTATTTGAAAGCGATGGGCGCCGCCTTTCCATAAAGGCCTAAAGTCTGTCTAGAGAAGGCACCCTATTCTTGTAAAGCAGTGCGAAGAAACAGACTGAGGGATTACAATCAGAATTTCGTTTCCAGACTTTTATTAGAAAAATGTGACTGGAAAAATGAAACATGCCTCTGTCTCCGTTTAGACTGCGTGGTGAGCTACGCTTCCATATGTGGTAGCAATGCAATCTACAGTGCGCCGAGAGTATTTTGGCGTGGCTTTTCGCTCATCTCCACAAGAAGAACCCCACAACGCCGATTAGAGTCGATATTACGATAATCTACACAAAGGAAAATAGCAGATAACAAAGGCTCTGCGAAGCGGCGTACCGACGCTACCTTGGTATCCTTTTGCACAGGCAATGTTCATCTTTGAAAGACACTCTAGTCTGCACCATTGGAGATCAACCAGAGTGATATCTTGGCTTTAATCTTGATGTTTCGCATAAAATTAGATGTTTGTTTGGTCAAGCCTTGGAGGTTTCAGAAGCGCTTGGAAATGACGGTCACGTGTCGATGACGCGGCGGCAAGAGAAGCCAAGTCCCGCGGTCACCAGTGAGTGCCAGCTGACAAGTCCGGGGGTCACTCCACAACAACCCTACACGCAGCCGAGTCTTCTGTCTTCCTTCCTTTCTCCCCTTTCAAACCTCCCTTTCAACAACCCACCTCTACCTAACCCATCTCGCAAGCTTGCAACGAAATGCTTTCTCGTACCTTTGGCGTCTTCGCCTCTCTGGCGCTGGTCGCCACTTCGGTCCTCATCCCGCCAAACGTCGCGGCTAACAGCCTCGGCGATGACGACGCAATGGAGACTCTCGCCATCAACCCCTTCAAGCGCACAGTGGCGTTGGAGTGCCCACGATGCGCTCTAGCGATAAAGAAGGGAGACACACTCTTCTGGACACAGGATTTAGGGAATGCATTCGTGAGTTGCCTGCTTCCGGGGGCTCCCGGACATGCTAACAAAGGGCAGCTGCTGGACTTTGAAGTAGGACCGCAGGAGTCTACTCTCGAGATCGACGGTGTTCAACTCTACCCTCCAGTCTTCGGTCGCTTCCCCGAACCCTTCTACGTCACCCAAGTGAACCCCGACAAATCCACCGAGGATGCCGTGCGGTTACTAGTCACCGGATACACATTCCATTACAATAGCGCGGAAACTATCACAGAAGCCGGCGCCGAGCTACTACCAATGACCTTCCGCATCACTTCGATCGAATCTACGGCTGTCGACCCGCCGGCGCTCACCATCAATCTTCTCAAGGATGTCAGCGGCCGTCTCATGATTGCATCCTTCGAGGTAGCCCAGGCTAGCGGTGTCATGGCTGTCGATCAGGAGAAGGAGTGCAAGGAATGGTCATTGGTGTGCAAGTGGAAGTCCATTTTGGCGGACAAGGTCAACGGCATCAAGGGCGCGATGGGCAAGGGCTGCCACAAGAACAAGGGCAACCCGATGGAGAGCCCTGAGACACACGGCAAGCCACCACACACCTTCCGCCCCGGCCATCCTCACCACCACCCACACCATCACGAGCACACCGGTCACCGCCACCATGCTCACCACAAGCTCCACATGTTCCTTCGTCGCGCCATTTTCACCATCCTTATCCCGATCCTTATCGGTATCTTTGCCGGAACTCTTACATATCTCATTGGTATGGCTCTCGGCTGCGCCATCGCAATCCTCGTCGCCAAGGTCCGTGGACGCGCGCCTTACGAGAGCGTCGCTCAAGAAGAGGAGGATCTCGAAGATGCGACTCCCAAGGATTCCGAGAAGGAGGTCTTCGCCGAACTCCCGGAGTATGACGCACCTCCCGTGTACGAGGAGGCTGCAGAGAAGGAGGTTGTCGATGAGGCACATTAAATGGGCAATTTTCGTGTGTGCGACCTGGAGTGGACGGGGAAATTTCGGGCTTTGAGACCTGTCTAGCAGGACAATTCAACGTGAAGGATTCGGGAGCTGGCGCATTTTATCCTCTCCATCCGGCGTGATTGCGAGTGCTGTGGCTTGGTTGGGATTCCACACTCTTTCCCTACATATCAATGATTTGGCGATGAATTTCCATTTGTAGAGTACATCAATCAAATGTATGAGTTATGGACACAGATTTCTTTCGATGGTTTCGAAACATGAACTGAAGTGATGGTTGTGACCCTATGATGCCTTTCTAGAGCCTAGGACGCCACTGTTACTTCCGGCTTATGGAGAAATGCGGCCCTCTCTAGTATAGCCGAGTTCCTGGGTGGCATTTATCAGAGCAGAAACAAGAAAGAAGACATTCCTCTCCTCACCTCGCGCGAGGAAATCGACGCCGTCTTCTCCAGTTCTGGCGTCAACGAGGCCGCGAAACTATTGACGAGAAAGGCGCAGAGAGTCATACCCAACTCAGGGAGCAATTTCTATGACTTTGTTACCACGGATTTGTGGACGACTGCTCTCACGAGCTACTTTCATTGTATCGTAGTATTAGGCTTTAGCCGGAACGGGAGCTTATCGCTTTCGGCATCGATTCTCTCCAGTCTCCTGTTTAGATTGATATGTATGAGGGCGGGGTGGAGGGCACATTCAGTGTGCCTCATAAGCATGTAGACGTCCGTTATGGACTTGATCTCACTATATCGTCATGATTCTGGCGCAGCTAGGGATTTAGGGTGGTTGTATTCTAACGACAGCGCACGCCTAGACAGAATACAGTATCCTACCCCCCTTCTACTTATTCTAGTACAAGTCTAGCAGAAGAGCGTTTATTTTGATATCTTAGTCTATTAATTCTTAATAATTATGTAAGACTTAGGGCGAGTTCTTGGGCCCAGGGGCGTCAGACCAGAAGCACCATCGGTGTGACTGGACCCGCAAAAATTTCATTTGAACGAGTTATCATTCTGGAATCTTGTGGGGAATCTTTACGCTGCAGGGGTGGCCTTCAGGCAGTGACCTAAAGTCTGGCAAAAAGAAAATTTGATTCGTCTGAGACTCGAACTCAGGACCTTCAGTGCACCCTAATCAGTTGTTTAGACTGTTAGACTGACGTGATAACCAACTACACCAACGAACCGGTTCATTTGATGATGAGATGCAAAGAAGTTGCATTTATATACTAATCGGCAAAATTTCCCCAAGCCTGTTCGTTGACTCTGGGCCGAGAAACTCGCGTTTTACGAAGATTTTGTTGAGGAAAGGCGGAGCCAAGTCCGATGCAAGAATTTGCAAGGGGTGTAGCGGGGTAAGTCTGGGCTCTACTCGTACCCACCCGAAACCAAGCTAGAAAAGTTTTCACCAGAATTTTAGAAGAGATATTGCGGAAATGCGATATAAGAGATGCCAGTATAGCACTTCAACGCTTCAGTGTGTCAACGGTCTTTATATTCGTCACATCAAAAGCTTGGGTCGACTGTTTGTGAGTCGAGAACTCCCACCACGCAGCTGGCCCCTGGAACACAAGCAAACCACGACACTATTTCACGCTGCTGCATTTGCAGTTACTACCTGAAAGTAATCGCCAAAGTTACACTCTCCTTCTCACTTTTTCAAACTAAAGGTTTTCGTTCTTAAACTTCGATAACTTCTGGGTTATTTAGTACCTGGTTTGGGCTCGGGAGGCGTCTTCGCTACCACGCGGCTTCACCCAAGCCTCGTCTAGACTATCTTACCTCATTCTAATATCGCAGCTATTCACCGGGATAAATAGTAACCGCGGTTGCGTCTTTCTCATCCTCTCTCTTGGGGATTGGGAAACGAGGCAAATTGATAATCTTCTCCGTCCACAAATACAGCATCCGATGTGGGCAGGTAGGCCGTCAAGCGACGAAGGAGCTAGTATTTTATAAAGGAACACCTTTGATCTCTGGTATTAGTCTTACAGCCCCTCCTCATGCCAATGGCTATACAAATTGAACAAGCGTGATCCATCAAGACGACTGCTAAATTAATGGAGGTAGAAATAGGACCATGGCTTCTGCTTGAAATTGTCCATGATCTCGGCAATCTGGCCATCATATTCTCTTGAAGGTAACCGCAGACGAGCACTCTTAGTTCACATTAGTTCGCTCTCTTCACAAGGTACTATATGTCCGCTTCTTTCAATTAAACTGTGTCTTCTTATCTCTCTAGAATTTGGTAGTAGCACGACCTTGGTTGTCGAGACTCTTTAAACCAGCCACCCTGTGATCCGTATGAAAGCACTCACCATACCACTGCCAAGTACCACATGTTATACATAGCCCCTCTCCAATTCAGGTCCACTAGCAGCTCCCCACCGACTACTTTGGGTATGCGCAACCCAGTCATATGCCAATTGGGGCATCTCTACCTCCGTATCCGGCAACCCTTGTACCCAGCATCTACCGCAAAGAGCATCCGCGACTCTCCATTCCCACAGATTCTCCGTCTCCTATTACCTTCTCACAACCTGGCCGTATCCGTGGATATTTGGCCCCGGCACCCCGGCACCCCGGCTGTGATTGGCTCCCAGACCATGTCGCTAGTGTGATCAGCTTTACCCATGTTTTATCCACAGCACTCTTCGGGATCTGCAACGACGGACCTTGGAGTGGGATTTCCGTGAGTTAATGCAGCGCCGCCCATACTATTCTAGGGACCGCAATCCAAAGTACAGGAACAGCATTTTCCACGCATGGCGTGAGGGCTTTGCTATTTGGCAAATTTACGAATCCGGGGAGACGCCGCGAGGAACCAGGCAATATTTCTCCGCGAAGCGTATGACGACCTGGGATTCTCCGCAAATTGTGGGGTTCGAACTGGAGGAAGGAGATGATCGTGGTATATATTGGGTCGGTGTCTTGGAGAATGCAGATCCAGGCTTCGTCAATCGTCAAATCGAGTGCTGCGAGGAATTGATTCAACGATATTCAATATGCGTTCTCTTACATCGCTAGCTGTAGCATTGCTCGCTGGGGCTTCTAGTGTGTTGGCTCTGCCGGGCCAAGGTATGTGTTCTCCCACTTCTCTCAAGACTATCACATGAGTAACCCGACAATGTAGCCTTCGAGAGGTCCATCGAAGATGCCGCAACGACCAGTCTAAACACGGCAAAGATACTCCCCCGCGCCAACTCCGCCGGCTGCGGCAAGACACCCACCATAACCTCGGGCACCAAATCTATAACCGTAAACGGCAAGTCGCGGCAATACACCATCCGCGTCCCAACGGGCTACGACAAAAGCAAGCCGTACAAACTCATCTTCGCCTTCCACTGGGTCGGCGGGACCATGGGGGATGTCTCCAGCGGCGGCAGCGACGGTGCACTCTGGGCGTACTACGGCATGCAGAAAATGGCACAAGAATCCGCTATTCTAGTCGCCCCGCAGGGGATAAGCAATGGCTGGGGGAATTCTGGAGGCGAAGATATCTCGTTTGTGGACGCCATGCGATCGGCGGTCGAGAGTGACTTGTGTGTGAACCAGGCACAGCGCTTTGCGCTCGGGTTCTCATACGGAGGGTCAATGTCCTACTCCATCGCCTGCTCGCGAGCCAAGGACTTCCGTGCTGTGGTTGTTATCTCGGGAGGTGTGCTTAGTGGATGCAGTGGAGGTAACGATCCTATTGCTTATATGGGTATTCATGGCATCAACGATGGGACGCTAAATATTTCTGGTGGACGGTCTATGCGTGATAGGTTCGTGGCCAACAATGGATGCACGAAGCAGAATCCCAAGGAGCCGGCTGCGGGGAGTAGATCTCATGTTACAACGGAATACTCGGGATGTAAGGCTGGGTATCCGGTTACCTGGCTTGCGTTTGATGGTGGTCATGCTCCAGCTCCGGTTGACGGAGGATCGGACAGCGGTGCGAAGAGTTATACGCCGACTGAGATGTGGAAGTTCTTTTCTCAGTTTTCTTAGAGAGGGAATGTATAAAGAGTTGATTGGATCACACTGATAAGTATATGGTAGAGTAGGGCATCCAACAAGATTAGATCATACAATTTGCGATCACTTCGAGAATGTGTGAACAATGTGGTATTGTAATCAACTGAAATCCAATTGATCACCTGAAGTAACCGCTGATACGTTGAAATGAGAGCTCATGTTTCTTGTCGAAGAATAGTATTTTTTTCCTGGGCCATGTTGAGCGAGGAAATATGTGCCGCTGCTATTCTGCCGCTGAAAAGATATAGCATTGCCATACTTGAATGAGTTAAGAATCTCAAGGCACGCTCATTATCGATGGCTTTGTTCCATTACCGGTCATCTCACAAGGGTTTTCCGGAAGAGTCGTTCGAACAGTTGGCGCGTCTTGGCAGCCCTCCATTGCCACCGAGTCTGGAGGATGTGTCAGCTTCATTTATAGAAGATATGACGATACTTACTCGACTCGAGTCCTCCCTGTTATGCAGAGGAATATCTTAAAATGCATTTCCGGTACGATTGTAAGTCCTGACAAAGCCCAACTTGATCAACCTCTCTTCGGAAAGGACCAGGAGCTCATGTCTGAACTTTTCCCTCTCGAGCTCCCATATCTCGTCGTCGTCCATAGCATCTGCAATCTTCTTGTCCAGCTCAACTCCCCTCAATTTGACAGGAATGCCGTCAATCATTTCAAAGAGCGTTCCGTATTCAGCGGCCGCCGCGGCCAATTTGGGGTCTCCAAGATGTGGACGAATCCCTTGATAGGCTGGGAAGATGTTGGGCTCTACTGTGAGGTCTTCCCTTAGTTGGACGCCAATATCAACCCACAGCCGTGCCTCCCCTTCCCGGACGACCATCAGACAGCTCGTCGGAAATTCCCAGGGTCCCATAGTCCAGTTCTCGCACACTATTTGTAGCAGCCGCTCCATTCCACCATGCATCTCTATTCCGATTGCTGGTAGCAACATCTGCCATATGGCGGTATAATAAAAGAGGAGGATTGGTTCTGTGCGTTTCAATGTCTCGTGAAATTCGGAAATGATTTTCCCAAACGGAGTTTTCTCTATATCTGCCCAGCGCATGAAGAATAGGCGACCGGTGGCGAGGGCTTTCAGGTATGGGTACCAATATTGTGGCTCTCGGTCTTGGAAGCCGTGCTCCCAGGGCTGAGGTGGAGTATCTTCCGTAAGTCCTGATGCATCGTCCTGTGGGATGAGTGATAAGTACTGGGGTAAAATCCCTGGACATCGTCAGCTCGTCGGTCATTCCGTCCCAAGAATAAGCTACCATGGAGACTTTACAGAGATACTGTGGATCCACTTTGTTCTTGCTCTTGTGGCCTGTGATATGTACGTGATCGAGGCAGTGCCCATGTTCGTCGTGCCTATGGTCGTGTTCGTTCTCCTTCCCCTTCCCCTTCCTCACAATCCCGTGAGCGGCATCCATCCTCAATTGATGTTGATCCAAGATAAAAATTGACGATGTGGATGAATGAGGTAGCAGGAAGACGGAAAGATGTCGGTGACTCTAAAGACTTTAAAACGTGATTAGGGAGGAACGACCTGGAGGCGGAAGGGAAGTCAAGGCGAGAAGTCTCGATGCAGCACCCGGGCAAGTACCAATGAAGTAGGAATTCCAGCGGACACGGCCGAACGACTCCGAAGCGACGGCTTCTAGAAAGTGGGAGATTGATCAAAGTTATCGCGATTTTGGCCACTTCATTTATTATTAGTCTGAGACTTGAGTTTGAAGGGCTGGAGAATGCGGAAAGGGTAGCGAAGGATATGGAAAGAGAGTATGCTGATGATCGGGGAGAAGCAGAATAGCAATCTCTGAGAGAACAGACTCCCATTCACAACCTACCAAGGTAACGCCGGGCCTCATAACCCTCGCTCATATTACTGTCCAGAAAGAACACCTAGTAAATCAGATACAGAGCAATAGCTGTGTGCCCAAAGAAGATAGCGCTAATGACTTTTTGATTCCAGCCCATGTTATCCCAAGCATAGCCTACAATTCTCACTTCCACTTTGCAACTACTTCTCCTCTTCCTCGAATTCCACCAATGCTGTCCCCGCTTTGCACAAATCCTAAGCACACAGTCAGCACATCTTTCCTTATAATCACCACTTAAAAGGACTTGAGACTTACCCCAGCTCCATGCACAACCTTCGCAATAGTTCCCTCA